TACTTTTTCCAATTAATTCCCAACATACTTTTTCCAATTCCTTAATCCCAAGGGAATAAAAGAAAGAAATACATCCGGAAATTCAATAAACGCGCATTAACCCTCTCCATCTCGCGATTCCACTTTTATTTTATCCATAATTTTTAAAACGATTAAAAAAAAAAAATCCTACTCTCAACTTGCAACCCCTCTCCTCGTAACTTCTACTTTTCCCAATTAATTCCTCTCGATCTCATCGCATGAAAAGAAAAGAAAAAAAACAATAGAAAGAACAAGCACGCGTCGATCCTTCTCTCCTCTCCTCTCCTCTCCTCCCTCCCAGCCAAAAAAATCCTCCCAATAATCGAGAATCCGTTACAAACGAGACACGAGACACTCCTCCACTTATCTCAACCCCTTCTTCATGCTTACGTTTCAGAGTTTCCATCCGTCCAGAGAGTCCATCAAGATTTCCATCCTCTCGCCTTTCCAGGTCGCCACGACCAAGATCTCAATCAATCCGCGCGCTCCCGGATTGTCTAGGAAGACGCGCACCCCCGCGGCCATCCGCTCGGGGCACCGCAGGGGATGGGTGAGGGGTGGATTGAGACGCGGCGGGGTGTGGCCGAGCCCTGGATTAACCCCTTCTGACAGCCAATCATATCCAAGACAGCCCCACCACCCCCGCAACTGTCGTCCCCGGCCGCCACCCTCTTCCGACAACCCCTCCCCCCTCCCCCACCGCTAATTGCCCTCGCTTTAATATCACGCGTGGAGGCCGCTGGAGGGACGAAGGGAGGACATGGTTGATAAGGCGGCAGCGGCAGCAGAATGTGCCGAAGAGGGCACTGGAAACTGCGCCCCCGTTTCGCGTGCATTCTGTGACATCTACATCGGGCGCAGGGGAGGGGGGTGGATGCTGTGGAGATGGGAGGGGAGGGGAGAGACGCGTATTCTCGCGGATTCTCGCGGAGATGCGTGATGGACGGGAGATACATCGGCGTGGAGGCTCGATTTTTGGTGTTTCCATCGATCCCATTTTGCTTTATTAATGATCCCCGGCATGATCGAGGAGAGTCGCAGTCGATGCGTTACCGGGAGAGATCGATCATTCTATAGTGCGCTCAGTCCATTTGTGCGTCATTGCTCAATGATGTCGCGCGTTTATTCGTGGGAGAGGGGAGGAAGGAAGGGTTGGAGGGGGGGTTGGTTGCGCGTGGTTCATCGTGGTTTGGAGAGATCGTCCTTGAGAATTGGAGAGAAATTGGGCTGTTTAAATTTTTACAAGTATCCAGTGACTTTTTTATCTTAGGATAGGATGAAATTGAAATTACTCAGGTTATTTAAGGCTGAAGCGACTATTATTAATAACAATTTGTTTATCAATTCAATCCACTTTTCACGATTGAAATCTCAATTTCCTTAAAATTCGAATGTAGAAAACTCGGAGGATCAAGACAAACAAAGAAAAAAAGGGGGGAAAAAATGTTTCCTACCTAAAACACCATAATCAGCTGCACAATCTCAAAGGATGAAATCGCTCGTTCATCCGAGCGTGTTCATTTTTAACTGTTCGCGGAACGGGGGACTAATTAAAGACGGAGGGAAATTTCGTAGGACGAGACACAAAGGGGGAGGGAGGGGGAGGGATCGTCGTCTTCGTCTTCTATATTGGCTCGTAAGGGTGGCTCTTATAAAGCGGAGCAATTATCCGGGTAAAATACTCTCCGAAATTTCCGTGATAAATTTCAGCCTGTAATAAGGGTGAGTCGCAAGTCATTTGGTCGGGCTTGCGGGGAGGGTGGGCATCGGGTGCTTCAATAGAAATTCTTTTCGACCCCCACCCCGTCCTCGTGGATGCTCGAGCGCGCGCGCGCGCGTATCGTCGTTTAATTTAAACATTTGTCGCTGATCCCATTCGATACTACGGCAAGTAGATTCCTCTAAGGGTGGAAAGCTAATGATTACCGGCGTCTGAATGTAGTGAAAAGTTGGGAACGGGGTGTGTGCGTTACTCGACGTCGTTCTTGCCTTCGTGGCAAATGGAAAAGTTAGGTTAGGGAATCGAAATTAAAATGTAGAGTAGTGAAAGTGTGGAATGTAAGTGTGAAAGTGTTTAAGATATAAAGGAGTAATTTTCTTATCCTTTCCGAGGAAAGGGTTGGGAATATCGTTCCAAAGGAATTTCGTATTTTATTTTATGTAGACTTCGCGTTTATTATTCGATGTAATATTGAATAAATATTTTGTCCATCATTTATGGATTAATTTATTTTTTTTCTTTTTTTTTTGGAAAATGTGAAGTATAGAGTGGATGGAATTCATATAAGATTTTCTATTCTCATTTTTTTATTCTGAAGATTTTGATTTATATAATTCATTGGAAATATTATTTATTCGATGGCGAGAAATAAATGAATGAAAGAAGGAAAATAAAGTTTTATAAAATATAAAGTAAGATAATGGGGGATATAATCTTTTAAAAATATGCAATTAATATTTGATTCTATGGCGATCCTCGAGCTTACTCGAATGAGGCTGAATGCAAACTTAGCGTCGTGTATGAAATATACGATGCAATTACGCGGATCTATTGTTCGGTTTCTAAAATACGCAAGACACGGCGAAGTAAATTTTGGATTTATAGCTCAATCTCAACTTCATAATGGCTTCGTATAACTTTTAGACGGGACTAAACACTTCGTCCATTAAAATAGAACTTTATTATTGCATATATATATATAATATAGCTTGAAAAATTATTAAATGGTATAATGGTATTTTTTATTTAAATTATTAACAACAAATGATATCTTTCATAATATATCTTATATGATATCACGATGAAATTCACAATTACATTAAAAAATTTTATTAGAAATCGTGATCCATTACTATTACAGTCTTCGTTATCATGTATGATAATTCGTTAATGTGAACAGAACGATTACTTTTCACCATTAAATCTGTTTATTATGTAACAATTGATGAATCGAGTGACGAGATAAAAACAGGGTGATAAAATAATAATGGGGGAGAGAAAATTCAAGACGACATAAAACCTGGCTTGTAATTAAGCTCTTGCCCTTGAACTTAAGCTCCTTAGAGGTTTTCTGAGGCAGTGAAATTCCCGCATACCCGTCAACGTCTAATGAGGGGATTGCGGATGAAGTTTCAGGCTAGAAAGGGGCAATTAGGCAAACTGTGTTTGCTCTAGCTCTCGAAGAAACCTGCGCACAATGGTAGCTAAGTGATCTTCAATTATTAGCAAATAATACCTTAAAATGCGATATTTCCAACTTCAAATACTATCTTGTTGAGAATGAAAAAAAAGAAAAAATAAAATATATACATATAGACATACGTATACAAAATTTATAAAGTTTATTCAACGTAACAAGAACACGACAAAACGATTGAAAATAAATTATATCTTCCTTTCTTTCCCCTTCATCCCTGATGTCATTATTATACACGAGTATTCTACACACCTATTTTATTATAATTCTCAAAAAAACTGTAGAAACGTCAACGAAACTATCTGAACTCTTGCAGATCGAAGAAATAAAAAGAAAAAAGAAAAAATCCTCCCACTTCCCCTCGAAACGACAAAACAAACGCATCGAAAGCGGAGAAAGAATCATCCCCAGCCCGAGTGAATCCTCGAGCGACTATCTCAATCCGAGCAGAGGCAAGAAAGATCACCACCAACGGGACAAAATTAAACGACCTCATCATCATTAGAACCCGGCCACCTAATTACCGGGAATGTCTTAGACGCGGATGACATCGTCAACGAGCACAGACAATCGGGCGCCGGAGGAGAAGATGCGAGGCACCCTCTCTCTCTCTCTCTCTTCCTCCGTCTTCCACTTCCACTACATCCGCGTGACAAGTAAGGATGAGACGGATCGGTGTGCACGAGGGGATGAAAGCTTATTAATAGGGGTTTCTCGAGGGAGAAAGGGGGAGTGGAAGGCTTAGAGGGAAGAACGAGAGAGTAACGAGGCCTTGAGGGGGCTGGTTGTTGTTTCCGTTTCCGTGCTTGCTCCGTCCCGCAGCAGGTTGGAGAAGCAAAGGGAGAGAGGGGGGAGGAGGGCTGGAGAAAAAAGTAACAGACTCCCCGCAAATAACCCTCCCCCCTCCCCCACGACGCTCGACGCGGGGCGTGGCCAAGGTCTCGTGGTGATGGCAACGCTTGGCCAATCGAGATTCGCCGTCGCGCAACCCCCTCGTTGGCCACCTTCAGCCTTGAGGGTGAAAAAATATTGACCGTGGCGAAGGGGGGTATTCTGCGGTCCATTTGGGGGTTGCGGAGGTGAAACACAACGTCGGACTGCTGATTGCTGGCGAAGAGTGGCGAGCGGGGAAGGATCGAGCGTGCGGGTGAATACTCCCCCCCCCCCTCCTCCTCCTCCTCCTCCTCCTTCTCCCCCTGCCTCCCCCCTCGTCACGTACGGGATCATTAGCCGGATATATCCTTAGTCCTGCTCGCCAACCCTCTCCGATAGCAGTGATCCTCGTGGCTGACATCATTATCCTGGGACGACGTGCAGCGCCAGCGCGGCTCGGCCATCCTTCGGGGTTGGCCCCCTCGTCGTCATCGTTCCAGTTCGGTTTCCTCGTGTTCCTCGTTTCCCCCGTTTTCGTGTTTCGTGTTTCGTGTCGAAACCGTGTCCCATCGGGCGGATATAACCCCTCGTCTTCTTGTTTTCCACGCCGGGTATTTCGTATTTTCCGAGGGGGGATGATCGTCGCGCGGCAACCACGTCCGCCGGCAACGAGTCGGCACTCGTGTGACAGTGTGCTCGAGCCTCTGTGTTTGGTGATGAGGAAATTTTTGGGGAGGAGAGTCGATAAGGAGAGTCTATAAGGGAACGATGAACGATTCGTGCGAGTGAATTGGACTTTTTTGGATTTGGTTCTTCTTGGTGGAACGGACATCCGTGTCGATGTAAGGGAAGAGTTGAGTCTCGTATAAATATCGGAGAGTGGGCCTGTTTTTACTGGTACACGCGATTATGGAGACGAGCGACCCATCGGGCAGGTTGGCCGTCGAGGATCTGTCCGACTGCCGAAGCGAGAGCAGCCACTCGGAGAGCCAGCTGCGAGCGTTTCAAGATTACGAGAGGATGAAGGAGTTGAATTTGTCGGTGGACAAGTCGAAGGATGATTGCCAGATCGAGCCCAAAGACTTTCACCTCGGTCTAGAATCGGGCAGGGCGTCCATCCGTTTCGACGAATTTGAGAACACAGGCAGGAATCACCCGTTGACGTTGAACAAGGGTAAAGATTTCGGTTACGTGGCGGGCGGTTTGAACGAGATGGCGTACACTTTGGACAGAACGGGTGAGAACGACGAGTCGTTGGAGGCCGGCAATCTGTGCAGGACAAAGAATCCGACGGCCAAGGATCTCCTGTTCAATCTTCGCGAGAACAGGCACAAGAGCACGCACGCGAGCTTGACGTCCCTCTCTGACAGGTACGGAGGTAAGGATTTGAATTTCGCCGTTTCGGAGAAGGACATCAAGGATTTCGGCCTGCTGAAGAATTACAGCATCGATCGGATGAAGGAGTTTAATCTGTCGTTGGACAGGATGAGGGACAGTCATTTCGCGTTGGAGAGACTTCGAGGGGGTGGTGGATTGTTGGAGAATCCACCGATGATGGAGCACGGAGAGTTGAAGAATATGCAGATGCAATCAAGGAGCCAAGATCTCGAGGCGATCGCGCTCGAACGCATGAGACGATCGCATCTGTTGGGCGCCGATCTCTCCGCCCAGAATTTGTCCACCCAGATACCGCATCCCCATTCCATCACGCAGATGCAACACTCGCAGCAGCAGCAACAACAACAGGCCAAATCGTTCACCATCGACGCGATTCTCGGGTTGAGGAATAATCCTAGGGAGAAACGGAATCAGCAACAGCAGTACAGGAAGCATCAGGGTACGTGATGGTGGATCGTTTGTTTTCTTGTTGGCAGAATTGCAGAATGGATTTTTAGGTGGAATGTTAGGTGGAATTTGTATTTCTGAAGATCTCGAGATTAGGGATAGATAGGGTTTGGATTTTGGTAATTAAAGTTGTTTCTTTTTTGCGTGGATAATATTGTGGATCGTGAAACTTACAATCGTTTGATTTTTGATTGAGATCGAGACAGGAGTGAGATGATCAAAATGAAAGGGAAGAATCGAATCATTTATTACGGGAGGATCTATCAAACTTCAGATGTATTTCCTTTGGAAACAAATGAAGATAACGTGATAAAATCGTTCTGTCAGTTGTATACATTCATAATTAACAAAATTCTCGTTAACCTCAGCAGTAACTGAGGAATAATTATACATCGATTATTTCGTGACCGAATAGTAGTTTATTGAAACCTTTTCAATTAACTTTATTATCATAATTTCGAGGTATGAGAGATAAGACACCTTCTTTTTCACGTTTCCATAACCTACCCTCAATTTTAAACCTACGTTTTGAATTTCTCTGATGAAATATAAAACGAATATGTTATTTCGAGAAAGAGTATTATCGAAATTTCTAAATAAGTTACAAATTTTTATTAATCGTGAATCCACGCAATTATTAATTCGTTAGTCATAATGAATACCCTTTCCAAATGTTTCTCCTTCAATTTTCCATCTTTTCTCATTTTCACAAATATAATATACGAGTAGCAATCATATTTCTCCACCTTTTCCCCTTGCGCAATTAAATTGATATTACCAAAAATTTCACACGTACAATTAACATACACATTCGTACAAATTCTCCTCCACAACAACGAACAAATCGAACAAACATCCTACAAATTACTCTTCGTGAAAAAAAAAAAAAAGAAAAATTCGCAACATTTATTGACATTCAGTCAATAAATTATTTTGTCTATCGATTCGATAATTCAATTCCTCGTCTTTTTTCCTTTGAAAAAAAAAAAAGAAAAAGAAAAAAGAAAAGAAAGGGAAAAGAAAATCGTGGATTTAAAAAAAATATGGAATCGCAGGTCAGGAAGGTGGCGCGAAGAACGGTGGCTCGAGCTCGTGTTCCGGCGGCGGCGGCAAGTTGAAGAGGGTGCGTACGATCTTCACGGCCGAGCAATTGGAACGGTTGGAGGGAGAATTCGCGCGACAACAGTACATGGTCGGGCCAGAGAGGCTTTACCTGGCGCACGCACTCAGGCTGACCGAGGCTCAGGTGAAGGTCTGGTTCCAGAATCGGCGGATCAAGTGGCGGAAGCACCATCACGAGCAGCAGAGCCAGAGGGTGCACGAGTTCCAGCGTACCCTCAACTCGTCCCTGGAGCACGAGGACAGCAACGAGGCCGACAAATGGTGAAAAGAGTCCGCGTCCCTCGATCGTGAAGCGCGACTTCGCCCACCCCTCGTCTCACCCCCGTTTCTTCCGTTCTCCGATCCCAGAGATGTTCGACCGCTCGCGTTCGAGGAGGAGGGCTTGACCTTGGGCCAAGGACGATACACGCTCGATTCTCGGAGCGCGCTGTGACGATTCTTCTTCTTCCTTCCTCGAAACGACCTCTCTCTTCCCCGCGTTTTCCCCTCCCATCCGTTTCGTGACGAAAAATTGTGACTCTTCGTATCGCCAGATCGAAAGATATTTTTCGAGATTCGACTTGGATTTCGGCCGATTTTTCGCGCGGAATGTGAAGGATAGGAGGATAGGAGGGACGTAGGAGTTGTAGATGTTGATGATCGAGGATAATCTTGACGAGGAAATGTGAGATCCAATTGACGATTGATTCAGAACGTTGATGTAAATCGACGAGAGACGATACGTAGATCGATCGATCTTTGAATGAATTTTTTTTTTTAGATTGTGTATTTCTCCGTCTTGAAACGGACTCGAACGATTTCGATTCCTCTTATCGTTTTGATAATTCTTCGATGTTTGTATTCGATGCTGTTACGCGGTGAGGGGATAGGAGATAAAATTTCTTTTTTAACGAAATTATGTAAATTGTCGTCCGATAAGTGTGTGAAAGTGAAGAGACGATTGTTCGACGATTCGCGGACACTGTGGACGAACGACGAAAATTAAACGATGAAACAAGCAGAAAATCTTAGGTCGAAGTACATTCAACACATGTACTTTGACACAAGGGATCCGCCTGATATGTGTTGGAGGCATCCCCAGAGGAGAAGTCAGTCTTTTCCACTAAGCAGAAGCAGGTAAGTATTCATTTCCTTTTAAAATCTTTTCTTTCTTTCCTTTTCTTTTTTTCTTCTTTTTTTTTTTGTAGAAAAAACTTGAGAATATAATTTTTCTTTTTTTATTTCCGAATTAAATTTCTGAAGATGTTAAAATATACGATCGGTATGTACACGTATAAAAAATGAAAAAAAGAAAAACTGTCCACTAAAAATATTTTACTTTTAAAAATAAAAAGAGAAAAAAGATATTCTTGCAAAAAGAAGAAGTAATCTTAAATAATCTTGATGATAAAGATAATCTTCTGGAAAAATCTCGAGAAATCGGTTTCTCATCGAAATGTATCTTAAGGAGCCCGGAATCACCGACGAACTATTATTCCTCGAGTTCTTACAAGCCGCAAAAGGGTCATATGTGTTCCGGCCCGATGTACTCGAAGTATACCTCGCATCACGGTTCCGACGCTATGTACATGCAGGCTCGTTCCAAATCTCACCGAGACGTGCACCATCCCTCCAACTTGTCGCCCAAGAGGAAGATCCACTACGACGACGAGTTAGGGGACATCGAGAAATTGAAACTCATCGACGAGGAATTGGGGAATATCGTGGAGGGCAATGTGGACGAGAACGTCGAAGAGGAGATAACAGGTTCAGAATATTCACGAAACTTTGATTGATTGGTGATCAAATTATCTCGTTTCGATTTTAAATTATATCGCGGAGAGAGGATCATCTGAGAGAGAGAGAGAAAGAGAGAAAAAGAGAGAAAGAGTTTGGAATTTTTCTATATATATAGCGGAAGAGGATCAAGAGTTCTTGGACAAGGATTACGAGGAGCACGAAGCGGACGATGAAGTGGAGGAGGAGTCCGACCCGACCCCTCACGCTCATAGGCCTCAAAGAGCAAACAAGACCGAATTGTTGAAACAACGATGGAGATCCGAGCAACAGCCGGACCCGCGAAGAATCCGTGGCCAGCAACGTGTCACTTTAGTAGATAATCCTTCTCCCAGGTAAAGATTCTAGGAAAAATTTTTAAATCTATATATGTATTTTCATCCTTTTCCTTCTTCGCACGAATCTTAAAATATCTTATTGGAAAATTTCTCTTTAATCAATCCATTTGTACTTCGAACGAACATTCTTTTTCTTTTTCAAACTCTTTCATCAGAACAGAGAGCATACGGTGTTCACAATTTTTTTTTTAAATTTCAATCTGATTCAATCTAAAGCGATAATTCGAAGGAATTATTCGTGATTCCTAGTAGGTACTATCATAACGTGGCCGAGCACGACATATCCGAGCCCTTATCAGAAGAAGATTTCGTCCGAACGTCGATGAAGACTTCGAAGCGGCAGCCCTCTGACTATTATTGGGTGCCGAGGACCGAGCCCGATCGATACGAAAACGTGACGCCGTTAATGCGGCGTGCCCGCACCAAACCGGATATGGATCGTCTGATAGACCCGGAGATGAGCAAAGCGAGAAGGTGCAATCGGTGCGGTAACTTGTCGAGCAAGAAGAACGAACCGCCTATGAAGAGTACTTGCAGATTTGACGATTCTGCGAATATTCCTATCAAGGGATCGATCGGTGAGATTCTGTATTTTATCGCGTTTCATATATCGTTTTATTTCTCAAAAATTATACGTCATACGCATTGTTTATTTCGAAATCTTCTTCTCTGTGCTTCTTGAAAATAATAATGGAAATTTTGCATTCAATTCGGATAGAAATTAAAATAAACGTATAGTCGAAAATCTGTTGCGAAAAAAATTTTCTTGTTGTCGATTTTCCAGGTGACGAGCCCGAGAATCACGAACAATTATACGGCCGTTGCAAGTATGCCACGAAGGAAGCGAACGCTATGGATATTCCAACTCTGTACGCGATGAAGTCACGCAGATCCCGTGACTCAAAGTCGCCGATATACGACATTCCCGAGCACGGGCAGGACAAGCTTTCCCCCGAATATTGTCGATCCTCGAGATATCCAAGAAAATCGGATGCGTTCATGGAGAAGTCGAAGAGGTCGTTGCACACGTCTCACGGCACCGCCCGTATACCTCCTCGATACGTCGAATAAAATCGTTCCAATCGATGAAAACATTTATACCAAGGAAGAAGAATAATAACCTGAGAAGACTACTTACGGAACCACCACCTGAAAAGAGAACAATCGAGAAAATTATTATTATTAAATCGGACCACATATGAGCGCGAATGAGAAAAATTCCAATTTATTCTCACGAACGATTCTTCGATAACGTTTCAAGATCGAAGATCCTTCCCCTCGTCTCCAACCGATTTCTCGCGACTTATTTTCGTATAAGGAATTCGTCCCTACTCATCACTGTTTAAGAATGTACGTGTCGAACAATGATAGAAACAAATGATAGAATGATGTCTCGCCTCGTTGTTACTCATACTTGAAAGAGAGAGAAAGAGAGAGAGAGAGAGAGAGAGTGTGTACGTGTGTGTGTGTGGCGGATGGAAGAGCGATGAATTGAAAATTAAATAGCTTCTACTCGATCGTTTCCCTCCTACTGGTTGTGTAATATATATTTTTGTAACTGTCCTCGGGTCTAGATGTTACACTTGTACGTTGTTGTCCGAGACTAAAGCTAGTTGCACGATGTACATAACGCATTAGAGCGAATCGATTAGGGTTTAAACGTCTCCTCAAGAGATTAAAAAAACACGTTTGCTTTCACGTATTCGGTGTTGGACGATCTTCTAAATGGTAATCACCGTTCTCCCTCGGCACGAAATCGATTGTATATACGAGACACCACGATTCCGACGACGATTCTGTGTACACATGTACGCGTACATGTTGCGACATAAGAATAAAACCTCGAATCTGTGCACCGAACCCAGTCTACTTTGCCTAATCCTTGCCTGCCGCACTGATTCCCCCGATCTACCGAGTGTTTTTTCTCAAATTTGATTCATGGGATGCGTTATCTTGACGATGGAATTTTTTACAGACTGATGTTTTAAATTGAAATTATGAAATTTATGAAATTTGTATTTAAAATTTAGAGAAGATTGTATAAAAAAAAATCTTTTTTGGATAGTAAAAATTTTGAAAAAGTCGAATCGCATTTTCAAAATAACGAAACATACTTGAATTATTTCTTTCAAATTTTCCAAAGGTTTAAAATAATTAAATTAGATCGACGATACAAAATTATTTCCGATATTTTATTTTATTTATCCAAAGAGAGAATTTTCAAGTCGATTTTTGCTATATACGAATCGTATATTCGTCACAAATTTGTAACTGGTTCAATTTTCAGGTTAAGAAGAAATCCTCGAGGATGGACTTCATTCCATTCGTTCTTCTTCCGTCCACCAATTGGTACTAATTAATTAGCGGCGTGTCTTGCCTCTCTTTCCGGGATTTTATTCGTTGGGCTCCACGAGCGAGGTGGAGCTTTTTGTACGAGGCCACAAAGGCCGCTTCCGCCACCGCTTTTGTTTAAATATTAATAACGCGCGGAAACTCTGTCGCTCTCTGACCGCGCCCGGAAGGCCGCGCTTTGTTCAATTAAACTTAATATCTTTATTATATCGGAGCGTCGAAAGCGGATATTATTTATTGCGGCGGAAGTCGGGAAAACGGGGCCGTGCTTGGATGGGGACGGAATCGAGATTCTGTTGTTTTTCGTACGGATGGAAACTGCTCTGGAGAATTAAATATGCTGCATATTATAGTTTCAGATTAATTAATGGAAAAAGTATACGAATTGTTATATCTATTGAGTTTCCTTGTTCTTTTGCAATTTTTTTTTCTACTATTTATATTAAGCCAATATATAATAAAATATAAATAAATATGGATAATTATCGCGTATCACGAGAAGGGATCTTATCTTATCGTTCTATTGATATTTCGAATGAAAGATATTATATTATAACGATTCGTTTACAGATTCCACGAGTGGTATGAGCAAATCGAACGTCAGCCATCAGGAAATAGTAATCGTCCATCGAGCAACGAAATTCCTCCATGGAAAAATCTGACGCGAATGACGTCGGTAACTAATATTCGCTCGTTACGTGCAGGCCTTTTGTCGACCATGATAAATTAGCCGTCGACCCGTGTCAAAGAGGTACAAAAGAAAAGCAAACCTTCGATGGAGAATCGTACGGACTTCGCTATCAAGCATCGTGGATATCGATCAGGAGGGATGCCGTCTAATCTATTTGTCAAATCGGTCTTCGATCGAACCGATGTTCCATTAATCGATAGTCGCGTTAATAGAGTCACGACTGACGTTGATAAGACTTCGATTCGAACAAGTAATCTTCCCCGAGCATTTAAAATTCGCATTGATGATTGATTGACGAACAAGATTTCATTGAATATTAATTTTAAAAGTCGGAATTTCACAATGATTTTAAAGAGGAAAAGATATTTTCAATGGAGAAATCACTCTCTTCTCTTTTCAATCTCATCAAAATCGATCTATCGATTCCTCCTTCCTTTTCATTCAAACTACTGCTCAAATTAAATCAAAACTATATCCCAAAGATCATTTAAAAGACTAGCTTCAAACTAAAACCGATCTTTCAACCCGTTCAAACTCTAATCCCCGATCCACAATTCCTTATCTACTCCTCAAAGACGTCCAAATCCCCTCCAAAAAAATCCCAATTACCTTCAAATCCTAATAAGCACGACAACAAACACAGTTAGAACACGAGCGGATCCCAAGTCCATTTCATCAAACCTAATCCCATCGTGAACATAAGCGACGATTATGTTCACGAACGGCAAGGAAAAATCACGACGCGACATTCGTCTCGCGAGGAGAGACGCAACTGAGGGAGGGAGACAAAGAGAGAGAGAGAGAGAGAGAGAGAGAGAGAGAGAGAAGAGCACCGAGGTGATAAGCCTCGATATCTCCGAGCTACACCCCCTGCGCGCGAGATGTAAGCTCCGCCTATCCCTGGGTTACACCGGTACTTGCAAGAACCCCCCTGGATCCCCCCACCCCCGGCCAGAGGGGGTAACCCAACCCCCGGTGTGTTCCATCGTCGTTGGCATCCGCGGCATTCCAATTAGCTCGCGAATCAAAAGAGCCCCACTGCCTTTGTGGGGTCTCACCCCCTCCTACCCCCTGGTAAACTGTCTCCTTCCCTCTCTTCCGCCCCCGACGGCTCAACGTCGCCTCTCTTTCCGGCCGCCTCTGTATCGCTCTTCCTCTTTCGATCGTTCCCCTTTCTTCTTCTCCTGTTTCCAGCCCGGTTACCGAAATTTTCCCTGTCTCTGTTTCGTTACGGGGACGCGCGCGGGGGACGAGGGATGGCGCGCGTACGATGCTTCTTTTTCCTATCGGTTTTTATACGATACATACGATTCGATTCCCTCGGGTCTCCCTCCGGTTGGAAAGTTTTCGAGCGCGATTCGAGTGAGCCTCGATCCTCTCGATTCTGGGATACTGGGATACGGAAAGAGAAAAAAGAGAATTTTCGAGAATTGAGCATTTCTGGGATCGGAACCGGTTTTTCCGGAAAGTAAGTTTCGATTCGGGATTGGTGGAGTACGGAATTTTCGAGGATTACGTACGATTCGAAGGAGAATCGATTTTTGAACGATGCGAGTTCCGTTTCGTGATTTGAAATTGAAAGAGAATTGATTTTTGAGAATTTAGAATTGGAAGGGAATTTTTTTTGAGAAATAAGCCCGATTATTTGATTGAAAAAGAATCGATTTTCGAAAATAGGAAAAGAGTAGAGGTTCTTAATTTTTGAAGATAATTTAGAGGTCCCATATAATTTAGAAATAATAATTGTTAAAAAGAAAAAATGTTTAATGCATCTTTTTTTTTTTTCAACTTCAGAAAACAGCCTTAAATATCTCTGTGACAAAGGTCATATTAAACGAAAAATTGTTATAATGATTGAATCGGAACGGTGCTCGAGCGTTACCCCATCGAGCTTGATAAAATTACAAATATTCGCTCAGGATTGGCCGGCGCTCGTGGCCGATTTAAAAATTCCCGTTTAATAACGCGCCGGGCCAAGCTTTGACATAATTCCGCCGTTACATCGATCACCGTTCCACGGTTTTCAATCGTCCTCCGCCTCTCGAGAACGCGCTCGCTCGCGAACGCGGCAATTAGCGAAAAAATGCCGTGTAATAATTCGCCCCCTCTGTGGAGCGTTTAGTTTCGACGTGAAAAGAGCTGGTTCCGTTCGAACGTTCCACATCCTTGCCTCCCTCTTCCACCTCGATTTTAATCTCGAATCCGTGTCCTCTCTCGGTTACCCAATCCTCCCAAAAACGAAAAAAAAAAAGGAAAGAACAGGGTAATTCGGAAAGAGAGAGAGGGAAAGGAAAAGGAGACGAGAGGAGATGAGAAACAGAAACGAAAAAAAAAAAAAAAAAAAAAGAAAGAAAAATATCGCCACGAATTTATGGAAATCGGACGAACAACGTGAACGACCGACGTTCGTTGGTGGGTGTGCGACACACGGTTACACGGAAACACCGGGGCGATTTTAATATCCGCGAATGATAAACAAAGTGATATCTAACGAAGTGGATAGAGGCGCGCCGTAATAAAATTTGCGTTGCCGCTTCGTCGCGACCGGCCGCGGGTAAAACGTCACGAGCGGTTTCCTCCGATTTCAATTAGCCCTCGCGGTCCTCGCCCTGCTTCCTCCCTTCCTCCCTCTCTCCCTCTCTTTCTTTCCCTCTGTATAAGCGCGCTCGCGCGGATGTAGATCGCGTTTTCAGAAGAGGGACGAGATAGCTGGCTGGTCAGAGAGAGGGAGATGGGTCTTTTTTTCTTCTTTTTTTGGTTTGGTTTGGTTTGGTTTGGTTTGGTTCGTTTATTCTTTGATTCGACGTAGGTGGGGGTGGCCGATGTCGTGCGTACGCTTTGATGAGATTTTGTTTGGAAGAAATTTGGCGCGAGTCGTTCTTGTGGATCTTTCGTGAATTTTTGTTTGGGGAATGTTAATACGTGGAAAAGAAATTTTTATATTTAATAACGAATAGTGGATTGGTCGAAGAAGAATTTCGTAGAATATTGTTTAAGACTTAGCTGAATTCGAATTTCTTTTGTTGTT